CTTCTCTCCCATCTGGATGCCTATTCAGACCAAGACTCAAACCTGATTCTCCCTCTCCCAGAGCTGGATAAAAGGTCAGGACTAGAAGCTTTGTCCTCAGCTCTGAACAAACCACAGCTAGGGCACCGATGAGCTCCTTCCTTCTATGCATCTGGGACATTCTGGGTCCCCACAGCCTTGTCCTTCAGCCAGACATCAGTGGCACTAATGGGGAAGCTGAGGGCCCAATTCGGCAGAGAATGTGGATCCTCGAACAACCTCTACTGTCTTTAAGATCTCATACTAGCCAAACTAAAAGTCTGTGCCAGGCACAGTGCTGAGTGCTTTCTATGCGTGTCCTAGGAGTGGTTGTCCCCATCTTACCAACGATGAAACTGAGGCTTGAAATAGTCAAAACACTTGCCCCAATACAGAGAACGTCCATAAACTGAGCCGGGGAGCCAGGACTCAACCCTAGTCCACCCTACGAAGGCTCAGGAGGGTCACACCTCCTTGGTGCTGGGGCACCCTGGAGACTGTGGCTTACTAAAGATGAGCCATGAGGGGACCTGGACAGAGATCACAGAGAGCCCTTTAAATCCAAAGAGGCCATTTGGGCAGGCCAAGCTGACCCGAGCCAGCCAAGGCAAGGTGCCTTAGTACTGCTTCACGCCCGTGCGCATGCAGGGGATGCTCTAAGTGGCCAGCCTGGGGCCTTTCACTTCCCCGAGCATCTGCGCTGATCAGGACCACGTTTCTTTGCTCTGTGCTTGGCTTCCTGTTAACCCAACCAGGCCGCCGGACCAAATCGTCTTAATTTGCATCTAGCATTCATATCCATGGCCTGGCCTTCCAACCCTGAAATGTACAGTGGTTAGCTTATGCAAATGAAACTATGTAGCTGGGAGTTAATGCTTATAAAGCACTAAACAAATTAAGTAAGTAAAATAAAAGTAGCTAAATTATGCAAGAGGGAATGGAGAAATGCTATCAGGTAAACACTGTTCCCGAGGCACTGGCCAAGGAGACCTACACAGCCAAGCTGACTGGAGTACTGCTCTACCAGGCAGGTATCTCTCCACTGCTGAGAGGGCCACAGGAGTGAAGAGGGGCCCATGCTATTGGACACCCCTCTCCCTGCCCTGCTTTGCCAAGCACGAGCTGCCCGGATCTTTGGTTTCCCATGTGGCTCGCCCGGGACGCAGGGACCAGAGACCATCTAGTCTGCATGATGGTCACATGTCTTCCAAATTAATAAACTAGCATTCTAATTTGTACACCCACTCCTGGGAGCCTCTGGAGGTGACACAGTAGTCCAGGTCCAAACCACTCTGAAAACTGTGGAGATGGGGTTTCTGCACGGGCACAGCTAAGAGCTAGACCTTGGGCCAAGTGACAAGATCCAGGTAAACACCACCCTTTATGGCAAATCTGTGAAGGCACCGGCTGGTCCTTCCCAACAGAGTTGGAGGCATCCTCATGGGCCAAGAGGCTCGTTTGTTTAAAATACTGTCTAGAGACAGTATGTAGTAAAATGCTCCATTCCAGCTAAGTAAGTGCTAACATGTATCCTGTGGAAAATAAAGGATGACATATATGGAGCTGTGAAATGGAGTTCTGGGAAAGATTTCCTGAACAAGTTTGGGAAGGGCATTTGCAGGCGAGTAGGACCTGGACAAGAAGGAAAGAGGGAAGAGATGGGGATTGGGGGTGGGGTGGGGAGGGCTGGATCAGAATGTTTGGACACTCGCCACCTCTGGCCACTCCTGGGGGCAGTCTCTGCCTAGGCCAGGGGCCCCGGGTAGCTGTGGCCTTCTCCCTCTGCACCACACCCAGGTGGCACTTACTCATCACCCTCCCATCGGGTCCCAAACTGGATTTGCCACCTCACAATGCCCAGTGACTAAGAAGGAAAGTCATTTGATGCTGGGGCCAGGCCTCCTGTCAGCCATCAAGACTGAGCTTGCTTTTTCCTCGCCTTTCTGCCACCAGATGAGTTTTCCATTTTTCCTCCAGGTGAGCTGAGTGGGTATTTCTTCCTTTGACAAAGAAAAAAGCAACTGCTCTTTCCTCCTTCCCACAAGGACCCCCAACCAAACCAGCTTTTTAAGTTTAACCTGCTTCTTGCTCTGTGAATGTTCAATGACTGGGGCTCAGCTTCCAGTCTCCTGAACACTTTACTTCTCTGTGCCTTTGTTTCCTCATCTATATGAGGATAACAATACCTCCCTCATAGGACTACTATGAAGAGTAAATGAATTAATGCAAAGAAAATGGTTTTGGGAAAAAAAAAAAAAGCTTGACAAATAAATGCTAAGCCCTCAATAATTGTTGGTTATCAGGACTGCTGGGTATGGTTGCACAGGTGGTGTACTGCTCAAGAACCTGGTCAGGGTGCGGTGAGGATGAATCCAGTTCACACGCCAATTGCCCAGCTATGAGCCTTGGCCATGCCCATCAAGACGAGGCCCCAAGGTGGCATCCTAAATGTCACCGAGGTGCCACCCCCTTGCTGAGAGGTGTATCTTACTCTAATTCACACAAGGGATGGAATAGGCTAGCAACAGCCCTGGCAGTTATTGTCAATTGCTGGCATTCCCAGATAGATCTCCCTCCAGAACAAGACTGGATTAGAGGGGGGTCTGGGATAGACTGGTCTCAGCCATTAAGGTCCCACTCCTCAGCTGCCCAGCACTCTTGGAGCACTCGCCCCTCCCTTGGGACGCTTCTCGGTTGAAGTCCCGCAGCGTACCCTACTACTTCATCCCTACTGATCCTCCCACAGTTTTGGATTCTGAAGCAACTCTCTCCTTCATAATTGCTGACGGCCACTTGTCTCTGCTGACACTGAGAACTTCCAGTTGCTGGCAGGTTACTCCTTACTTTTTGTAAGATCCGTCTGCCCGCCTCTCCTAGTCAGTGAGTCTTTGAGGTCAGACAGAGGAAGTCTTCCCCTTTCCTCAGGTGACAGTGCTAGAGAGTCCTGAAGGCCACAGCCTCATCCCCCTCAGCTTCTCCTCCTGGAGGTAAAATCACCAGTTCTCTCCCTTCTCCCTCACAAGATGCGCTCTGCAGACGCCCCTCACCATGCCTTCCCCTCTCCTCTGGACCAGTTCCCTTTGGCAGTGCTGCTGTCCCTGGCAAGAGGCAGCATGGAGAACTGAGCTCAGGGGCTCCAGCAGCCCGACCCCCACCCTTCCATGGGCTCCGCTGGTCACTGCCTCCCACTGAGGCGTGTACCCCCTCCATCGGATGGAATTTCCCACTTTCTTTCTCTTCTTCATCCCAGGGGTTCCGGAAGTTAAAAATACAAAACCAGCTTTCTCCCAGGCAGTACTTTCTTTGGTGGGCAATTTTGCCAGAAGCCTCTACCTGGACGTTCTTCCCCAGGTCTTGCTCTCAGGTAAAAAGTTCACCCCCACACCCTCTTCTTTGTTTCCCTTTGAGCACTGCAGGAGCTGGGAGCCATTCCCAATAAGGGGACAACTTCTAGGATGATGGCATCAGGTTAAGAGGTCAGATCCTCGCCCACTGAAAGCCAGAGCCTGAAATGGATGCGTCTTTGAAAATTATGGAGTAAGAGGATGGCATCTGAACAAGAGCCTTTCCATCCACTGCGAGACAGCAGAGAAGAGACTCCGAGTAACCACTTTATGGTTACCCACAAGTGGAAAGTATGAGGGCAGAATGGCCTGGAGCAGCAGCCGGCACAGGGAATTAGCAAACAATGAAAGCCACTTAGGCACGTAGGCTGGAAGGAGGACTCAAAAGCACAGCCTATTATGTTATTAATAAAGAGATGAATGGCGGCAATTCCATCTGTGGCAGCCGAGGCGTTTTTCACAGCCAACCTGGATCTGTAACTACACCAGGCTCAGACCAGCTTCACTCAGCAGCCTCTTCGAGGTAGAACTGGTTTGTAAAAGGGAAGGGCCCTGGGTCATATCCAAAAGAGTAACAAGAAAATGGGATTCCCAAACGGATTTAGATCCCAAAGACCAGGGTCCAGGATCTGCCAGTATCTGGGGCTCTTACAGTTTTGAAAGGGGGGCGAGGGGCTTTTCACACCAGGCAGAGGATGCAAAAGGCAATGTGCCGTCCCTGAGTGGTTCACTGAAATATTTTCCCTTCCTGGCTGGCAGCCTTTTGGTTTTTAAAGAGCATTTCGGAAGGGATGCCTGGCCCTGGGGCTTCGGAGTCCCTTCACCTGGCAGCCAGAAAGCTGGAGACACTGGGAGGGGGAGGGGGATGGGAGTAAGGGTCAGGCGGCAGAAAACTATCTGCAGCCACAAGAGAAAGTTCGGCGCTGTGTGAGATCCCCTCCACTAATAGTCCCGAAAGAGGAAGCCGGGGAAGGCTTCGCCCGACCCCAGCAACCTCACCACTACAAACCTTACACCGAGAAAAAAACAAGCTGCACGCCTACTGCCCCCTTCTAGGAGTGGCCGGGCCTGTCTTTCTGCCAGAGCACTCTGCTCAGACGGTGATAAGTAACAGGGCCACGGGGTCCGCCGCGGGGGCTGGAGCGGGGCTGGAGCGGGGCCTGGGGCGCGCGGGACGTGCGGCGCCGGAGACCACATGTCCGCCTCTGCACGGGCGCCGCAGCCTGGTCTCCCCCAGGCACCCAGCCTGGGGCCGCGCACCGCCCGCACTCCCGCCGCCCGCACTCCACGCCGCCACCTCGGGTGCAGCGCCGTCGGCCCGCGGCCCCCCACCCCCACCCCGCGAGGTGGACGCGTCGGACTTACGCTGCCCTTAGTCCCACGCCCCGTCGCTGCACGGACCGCGCCAGCCCCGCGGCGCGCGCGCGGGTCCAGGGCCAGGAGGCTGCTGTTCTCGGGCGGCTTCCGTCGAGCGTCCCGCTCGGCACTTAGAAGGACTGGGGGCGCGACACCCCAGCCGGCTCCCTCCCGCTGGCCTCCATCAGCGCGGCCCCAAAGGCGGCGGAGTTACTCATTTCCTGGACGTCCCAGAAACTTTTTCCTCCTTATAAGAACAAAACACCCGCCTCTACTCGCGGCAGCGGAAACTTCTTAAGGAGGACCACGCGGGTTGCGGCGGCCGGCCCCGGGGTCCCCGTAGAGGTCGGCCCGTTGACCCCCAGAAATTTCAGAGAGGCCAGCAGGACTGGAAGGTGACCGGCCGAGCCGGGCTTTGGCCACCGGAGTAAACTGGGGCGGGTGGACAGGATGTCGGGCAGGACGCCCTTAAAAGTCGGTCTGGGCCGGCGGAGTGGAAGGGGTTAAATCACTGCTAGTGGGCCGAGCGTTTTCCCGCGGCGCGTTTCACGGGCGGCGGAACTCCGGGGGCCACCTCTTTTGTCCCCGGGAGGGAAATATAAATTGAGCCGCCACGCCGGCCCTTTTCTTTCTTTTTTCTTTTTTTTTTCTTTTTGCGGCTTGAATGTATTAGAAGAACTCACCAAACTAAACGAGAAGCGAAAGCATCGTAGTCTTTCTCCCTGAGTAACCCTGCACAAAGGGAATGATGACCACCCGGGTCTATCCGTAGAGGGCGCTTTCATGTCCAGAGCCTGTTTACCTTTGTGGAGTTAGCCTTGAAGGAACTGAGGCCGGGAGGGACAGCAGCAGCAGCACCCTGGTGGCGCTTAATGGGTTATGAAATCCATAACCTCTTATTTTCCCTTTGTGACCTGCTCCAGTGCCACAGCCAGTGGAAGTGGCCGGCAACGGCTTGAATAAATCCTGCATTAAGTGGCTTTGGGGGAGTCAAACGCCACCGAGGGCACCTTGGGGGAAATTATGAGAACACACTGTCCAAATGATTATCACCCCTGCTACTGCTGTCGAGTCTTAGATCACCTACTTCCTTCCCTCTTCGCGCCAGCCAAATAACTTTAACACTCGCCTGGAAGACATTAGGGAGAGTCGGAAAGAGAAACAGGCAGTGAGACAAAGTCCTAAAAATAGACCCCCTGGCCCTTGGCCCAGGTTACTCTTGTTTTCAAATTTTGCTGTTGCTCATAGCTCTTTCCTTACGTCAGGGACAATTATGAAAGAGTTTTGGGGGCTGGTGGGGAGGCATGGGGAATGGGCTTGTAGGGGCCAAGGGCAGGCTGCACCAAGAGGGGCCAGTTTGGTCTGAACATTATTTTGAATTGAAAGCAACGAAACCGCAGCAGATTTGGGAAAAGCTCATCTCCCCCTCCAATTGCCTGCCCCACCAGGAAGAGAGCTATTACCAGAGATTTCTCTTTACCTAAGAGGTTTCTCTGCATAATAAGGCAAGCTTTCTTTTCCAAACTTCTCCTTTTACCTCCCTGCTAAGAGTCTTTCTCCCCTTTGTCTCCTTAGGCCCCTACCCCTCTCCTCTGCTCCCCTAAGCTCCTGTTGCCTCACTGCCTTTGGAATTTGTGTGTCTGCATGGATCCCCCTTACATAGGAACCTAAATCTGATTTTCTCCTGTAAAAAAAATCTGTCAGCTGTCGGTTTGACTCTTAGTAGAATCAAATGACTAGTAGAAGGACCTTAAAGGGCAGAGAAAATTCTTCCTCCTTGACAGAGTGATCTGGGGAAACTTTTGTGAAAGAGCTGTGTATTTCCAAAATGTTTGTGAGGCGGATGGATAGGGCACTCATTCTCTCCGAGGCAGGCAGAAGAAATTCTTGGGGGGGGGGGTAGGAACACTGGCCTGAGCACCCCTACATTGCCTTATAATCCTTGGAGTAAGAGTTCAGGGTTATGTATGCTGGAATGTGAAGGTTAGTACTGAAACACCCTCTGGGATTGCCATCCGGTCTGCAAAGTTCGCTGTATGTATTTCTTTATAGAAGGAAGATTTATTAGATTTGTCTTTCTTTTAAACCAGTCCGTTTCACTCTCTGAGACCTAATGGTCACCTGCACTGGTTTCCCTCTGCTCTCAAAACAGAGTCCACTCTTCTAAGCTGGCACACAGGCGGTTCATGAATTGGCCTCTGCTTATCTCACTAACCTCACGTCTCACTCCATATGCCACCCCAAACTCCTTGCAGTTCCTGGAACTTGTGCTTCTCAGAATGTGATATAGGGTTTGTCCCCACCCCCACACTTAGATAGTCACATGTGCTCTGTCTTCTGCATGCAACCTTCTCCCACCTTGTTCTCCAACCTGTCACCCCCAGTGCGCACACACTTTTTTAGGGAGGTGGGGGGCCTGGCTAAGGTGTGCTCAAGTCTTTAGACTAAGCAATTTCTCTTTCAGGAAGTTTTCCTTGAACCGCCATGCCTTCATTGGAACCCCCATCTATGCCATGTGGTTTCCATAGCACCTGTGGTTACTCTACAAAGTTTTTAAAAGACAGGAAAGTACAAAGATTCAACTTCTGGGACCACGAGGGACTAAGAAGTACGGGACCATCTGATTCTAACAGAACTGCTGAAAAAAAGATAGCAATGCATGAAAGGAAGAAAGGAGGAGCTCGGGGGGTGAGATGAGAAGAGAGAACCCAGAAGCACCCATCTGTGTTTGATGTGAAAATAAGCCCAAATGGCTGACTGGAGGTGAGTACTCACTCAGGCCTTGGGTTCTAGAAAGGCAGAGATCTGGACTAGAGACCCCTGCTCACAGCTGGGACTGTGCAGAAGATCTTAGTGACTAGAGAATGGAGAAAAATTTTTCCCACTTGTTCATGGTCACAGCAAGGAAGTTTGTGGTTTGGCGCTCTGGATGAGCTGATGTTGTCTGCCATAGAAATCGAAACCACTAGCCCAGCTATGGCAGCATAGGTGTGAGGCCCCACTTTACACAACCCATGTGGTGAGGGAATCTTGAAGTCAATACAAAACATAAAAGTTGGTTCCAAAGTGATGAATCTCCTTAGTCCCTGTCAGAAGTGAATGCAAAACCCGGTTGTTTCTTCTGATCCCTCAGGGAATAAACAATCCCCCATGGAAAATGAGCTTATAATAAGAAATTACAAACTAGTAAGTGAACCAATGAGGGATGAGATTGGTAGGTATAATAAACAAGAGAATTAGCCCCTTAAGGACTTGAGACACAGGGGCACCTGGGTGAATCAGTCAGTTGAGCGTCCGACTATTGGTTTCAGCTCAACCCTTGATCTCACGGTTTGTGGGTTCAAATCCCACATGGGGCTCTGCACTGGCAGCACAGCACGGAGCCTGCTTGGTATTCTCTTTCTCTCTCCCTCTCTCTCTCTGCCCCTCTCCCACTTGCACTGTGTTTGTTTCTCTCAAAAATATACAAGCTTTTAAAAAAGGTACAAATACAATATATAGAAATAAAAGCTTAGTTGTTTACATTTTTTAAAAAATATTTATTTTTGAGAGAGAGAGAGAGAGCGCGTGCGCGGAGGAGGGGCAGAGAGAAAGGAAGACACAGAATCCGAAGCAGGCTCCAGGCTCTGAGCTGTCAGCACAGAGCCCGACGCGGGGCTCAAACTCACAAACTGCAAAGTCGGCCGTGGCAGCTGAGCCACCCAGGCGCCCCTGGTTTCAGCTCAACCCATGATCTCATGGTTTGTGGGTTTGAATCCCACATGGGGCTCTGCACTGGCAGCACAGCACGGAGCCTGCTTGGTATTCTCTTTCTCTCTCCCTCTCTCTCTCTGCCCCTCTCCCACTTGCACTGTGTTTGTTTCTCTCAAAAATAAATAAACTTTTAAAAAAGATACAAATATATAGAAATAAAAGCATAGTCATTTACATTTTTAAAAACTCAGTGATTGGATTCTTTTCTTATTAGGCAGTAATAAGATATCAGTCAAAACTCCAATAATAATACCTCATTAAAAAGGGGAAAATAAAGAAAAGGGACATAATAATTGACGTGAAAATGTTGGGGTTCAGAGCGAACAGTCAAGAAAGAGTTCTTGAGGGGTGCCTGCATGGCTCAGTCAGTTAAGCGTCCAATTCTTGATCTTGGTTCAGGTAGTGATCCCAAGGTCGTGGGATAAAGCCCTGAGTTGGGCTGCACTCTGAGCCGGGAGCCTGCTTGGAATTCTCTCTCCCTCTGCCTCTTTCCCCTGCTCATGCTCTTGCTCTGTCTAAAAAAAAAAAAAAAAAAAAAAAAAAAAAAAAAAAAAAAAAAAAAATTAAAAATTAAAAATTAAAAAGAATTCTTGAGATGTCTTTGGTGCAAATAGGTGGTTTTATTTTATTTTATTTATTTTTTAAAGTTTATTTATTTATTTTGAGACACAGAGAGAAAAGAGAGAGTGCATGAGCAGGGGAAAGGCAGAAAGAGAGGGAGAGAGAGAATCTTAAGCAGGCTCCGCACTGTCAGCACAGAGCCAAAATGTGGCTCGAACTCGTGAACCCATGAGATCATGACCTAAGCTGAAATCAAGAGTGGACACTTAACTGACTGAGCCACCCAGGCACCCTGCAAATAGGTGGTTTTATTAAAGCACAAGGACAGGACCTGTGGACAGAAAAAGCTGTACTGGGATTGTGAGGAGAAATTGAGCATATACCGTCAGGTAGGGAGGGGGTTAGGTATAACATAAGTCTCTGAGGAATTTTGGAAGCAAGGTTTCCAGAACCTGGAGGGGGGCTAGCTATTGTTAGGAAAAGGCTATTTATTTGTTTGTTTATTTATTTTTAAAAACTTTTTTTAATGATTTATTATTTATTTTTGAGAGAGAGAGAGGGGCAGAGCATGAACAGGGAGGGACAGAATCTGAAGCTGCTCCAGGCTCTGAGCTGTCGGGGCTCGAACTCATGAACTGTGAGATCATGACCTGAGCTGAAGTTAGATGCTTAACCGACTGAGCCACCCAGGTGCCCCAGGAAAAGGTCATTTATCACTGCCTAATAAAACCTTAGTCATGAGATGCTTCAGATGTAGATCAGTGGGCCCTATGCTTGGAGGATAATTGCTAACATGTATTTGGGGGGGTAGAGATTAAGGAGGTTTCCAAAGGAATTTTTAGAAGTTAAAGGAGACTTCTAGGATCCTGGAGGTCTGGATAGTGTTAAACTAAGATTGCCTTTTGCCCTTAGCGAAGTATCAACATTGGGGCAGTTGAGATCTAAGGGCAAGGTCACTCCACTTATCTCAAGGACTTGTCAATGGGCTGTAAGTAGTAAGGAAATTTAATTTGATTTTTTTCTTTTGCTTTTATTCCCCACATCATCTCGTTTATGAATACTTTTTCAGAAATCCTAATGAAAAAGTTAATACAGAATTCCAGCAGTGCATCAGAATACAATTAAACACTTCTGTAGCGTGATAAAAACGAAGGGTGAAGTTTGGCCCCAAAACAAATGCCATGCTTCAAGGGGAAACACTAGAAACCTTCATGTTCAAGTCAGTGCAAGATAAGGATGTCTTCTTTCATCTCTCTCTCTCTTTTTTTAACTTGTCAATTTGGAGTGTGATTGGTTTCAGGTATTAAAATCCTGACTATGATTTTGTATGTGTTTGAGATTACTAGAGGTTTAAACAAATAGGGGGGTTATTTTTTTTTCAAACAAGAAGTCTGTATGTGGGTGGCTGCTTTGGTTGAATGCTTTGATAGTTTAGGGTCGGGTCAAAAGTAAGGTACATACTGGAAAACCATCCTCCAAGGCCGCTTTCCCAATTTAGACTCTCAATGATAAAGTGTGAGAATGATGGTTGCCCACATCCTTTCCAGCACTGGCACTTTCCTAACTTACATTAGTGTGCTTCTTTTATGGGTGAAAAAGATATCTGAATGTGTTGATGTGCATTTCTTTAATTAGGAGTGAGGCTGAACAGAACAGGGTTATTGGCCATTTTTATTTCTTCATTTGTAAATAGTCAGTTATAACTTTACCCATTTTTCTGCTGGTCTGTTTTTCATGTGTGTGTGTATGTGTGTGTGTGTGTGTGTGTGAAGGTAAATGGAACTGTTTTCATAATCTCAGGTCGTACATGTGGCTTCAAATTCTGCATTTATAGGTGACTTGTGACCAACACCAGGCCAACTGCTGGGCACATACTGTACTTCACAGTCAAGAACATTGAAAAAAAAATCCAGACAAATATGGGGACAGATTTCCTGTTCACCCCCAGCTGTGATTATCCCAGTATGTGGAATAACATACACAACAATGGGAGAGACAGGAAGCCAAACGCTAGTCACGGATGGAGTGATGGATGGTAAAAAAACCCAGCATTTTCCTTGATTTGGTCAATCTCTTGCCATCATAAATTCACCTTTGTGTGCAGTTTCAAGAGATAATAACAAGTTGGTTTACAGAGCATTTCACTGGAATAGGCTGCTTTGCTGAGATGAGACCTCAGGAGTGTCCGTTGAACAGGATGATTTACATCTGGCTATTTCTTTCCCAGAGAAAAGAGGAAATTTCCTTGTGCTGGGAATGCCCCCGCTCTTCTAGGAGTGTTGGAAACAGCAGGTTAAAGATTATCTGTCAAAAAAAGTGAAGCCCAGAGAAACTGGGTCATATACTCAAGGTCACATTATTGTTTAGTGACAGTATAATAATAGGTAAAACTCATACTATGTGGTTATACTATTGCTTTAAGCACTTTACATATAACACCTCATTTAATTCTCATAATAACCACACACAGAAGGTATCATTAGCATTTCCATTTAACAGAAGAAGAAATTGAAGCCCAAAGAGGCTAAGCAACTTGCTTGAGGTCACACAGCTAGTAAGTGGCAGAGCCGGGATTTAAATCAGGCACTATGGCTCCAGAATCTTGACCTAAACTACTACCTTGTATCTTTCTGTTCGAAGTAAATCCCCTTCAAATGTACAACTGCTGGGGTTTTGGGGTGATGGTGGGGTTTGGAGCCAATGGCCAAGAAAGAATTCTTGAAGATGTGTTTGGTGCAAAAAAAGGTGATTTTATTAAAGCATGGGGACAGGACCTGTGGGCAGAAAGAGCTGCACTGGGGTTGTGGAGGGTGAATTATTGTATACCTTCAGGTTGGGAGGGGATTAGGGACAGCGTAAGTCTAAGGAATTTTGGAAGCAAGGTTTACAGGACCTTGAGGGGCTAGCTGTTGTTAGGAAAATGTCATTTATTATTGCTTAGTAAAATCTCAGTCCTGAGACTCTTCAGATGTGTATCAGGGGGCCATAAGCTTGGAGTATGATTGCCAGCATATATCTTGGGGAAGTTGAGATATAGGAAGTATCCAAAGGAATTCTTATATGTTAAAGTAGATGTACAGGATCCTGGGGAGTCAGGATAATGTTAAGCCAAGATTCCCTTTTGCCCCTAGCAACGGGTCATCTTTGAGGCAGCTGCGCCCCTAGAGGGAGGTCACTCTGCCTGTGTCAAGGACTAGTCAATGGGCTGTAGGCAGTAAGGGAATTTAATTTTTCATTTGCCTTTGTTTCTCACGTCATCATGGCAAGCACTTAAACCCCCTTACATCTTGATGAAGGTGATATTAGGGCTCCAGAAAATGGAGTCTATATGCTTCTGGAGATTACGCTATGGATAAGATTGCCTTTTTCTTGCAGTTTACTAAGTTATCTTGCACTTTTCTAAGTTTACTAACTAAACTGAAGGAGACTCCTGTCCTGCATGACTGTGATCTCTGCCAGTCAACCATTTGCTTTCTTTTCTTTTCCTTGTTCTTGGGCAGCCAGGAGTGCGGGAGGAATATCACACATATCCCACCTGTGGGGGTGGGGGTGGGGGTAGGGAGGTGCTGTTAGTCTGTACTTTGCCCTCAGCTTGCCTTATGCTCCCTCATCACTACACTGAATTTCCCCAAGAATGAGATTACAATAGTATTTAAACATTTTTCAAGCTTTTTTGAAAACACATTTTCCCTTAGAACCCAATATATTCACACATAAAAGTGTGTTATAATTGAAAGGCAAATTCCTTAAAAACAATATGCTTACTACATGTGACAAACTCTGGTGTATTCCCTCTTCGTTCTCTACCCATCTCTTACCCTTATTTGAAAATGAAAAGGCAGGCCACAAATTACTAATGAGTCATGATCCACAGTAAGAAAAGAAATGCTTCTTTCTTTCTTTTTTAAAAAAGATTTTTATTCTTAAGTAATCTCTACACTCAGTGTGGGGCTTGAACTCACAACCCTGACATCAAGAGTTGCACGCCCCACCGACTGAGCCAGCCAGGTGCCCCTATGTCATGAAAGCTGGTGGTGGTTTATACATGTTAAATTTCCAACCATACATAGCACTTGGAGTAAGGAAAACTGTCAGATAATTTCTATCAGACTTATTTCTGGTCAGTAGGTATTCATTGAGCTTCCTGTAGTTAATGTCTAAAGATGGTACACTGGGACTTTAAAACAAATCACCAGGCTATATAACCTTAGGAAAACCTGTCTTCATTCATTCATTTATCCATTCATTCATTCAATAAATATTTGAGCACGTACTATATGCCAGGCATTGTGCTAAATCAGGACTTGGCAATACTGGCTGGCAGGCCAACTCCAGAGTGCCACCTGTTTCTGTAAATAAAGTTTTACTGGTTCAAAACCATGCCCATTCATTTTTGTATTGTCTGTGGCTGCTTTTGCACTACAAAAGCACAGTTGGATATGGAGATCATGTGGCCTATGAAGTCCACAATATTTCTTAATCTGGTCCTTTACAGAAAAAGTACACAGACTCTGTTGCTAGATTCTAAAATACAGTGTTATTTTAGACTGGTCTCTGCTGTCCTGGAGGTTTGAATTGTCCTGCTTGACTTCAGCTGGGTTTCAGTCACCTTGGGGCGGGGGGGTGGGGGGGGTGGGGGGGTTGGGGAGGGATTTGAGGCTTTCTGCCTCCCTCCCATTGCTGCCTCTGAGAACACCTGTTCACAGTAGATGCTCCATAGTCATTTTCTACTGCTGAAATTATTCAGTAGATTTGGCAGCAAATATTGGAAAGAAAGAAACATACCCCCAGGGTAGAAAGGAGAGTTTATTCCTTTAACATAACAAATAGTGTCATTTTATAGATGCCTATCTGCAGCTATGAGAAGCTAGTCGTCAACTTTTATTGAGTATCTACTGTGCATTTGGCCCTCTGGAGAAGAAAAAAGATTTGGTTCAAACTTTGGCCCTTGTGTTAAGGATAGGGAGATAAAGGAGATAAATGTATTTTATTGTAATCCTTAATACTTCTGTTTGGGGACCTGGTGCATACCTGAAGATGATTTTGGTTTACTACCTTAGAATCGCAAATGTTTGTATTCCAATACCTTTTAACTTCGCTTAGTCACTAGTTACTCCCAAGAGTAATTGCTCTATGCCTGAGTGGATAAGCTAATCCTATTTTTAATTCCTTCCTTCATCAAACTTTCTATTTTGACTGTCTCTTATGGGTCAGCACCATAGATATACTTGAAGACTGGTCCTTCTAGTCTGGTGGGAAAGACAAATAAACACATGGTTACACTATTGTGTATTGACAGAATGACACACAGGTCTTCTAGCAACACAGAGGAGGAGTACCTAACTAGGGAAGACTTTCTGGAGGAGGTGACACCGAGCTGAGTTTTAAAAAGGCTAACTGGGGGCGGCTGGGTAGCTCAGTCGGTTGAGTGTCCAACTTTGACTCAGGTCATGATCTCATGGTTGGTGGGTTCAAGCCCCACGTGGGGCTTTGTGCTGTCAGAGCAGAGCCTGCTTCAGATTCTTCATCTCCCTCTCTCTCTGCCCCTCTGTGGCTTGTGCTCTCTCTCTCTTTTTCTCAAAAATAAATATTGAAAAAAAAAGGTAAAAAAAAAAAAAAACAGGCTAACTGGACAAAGAAGGAGACATAGGATATTCCTGACATGGGAGTGGAGACTTTACCCATGACAATGGGTAAAGTCTAGAGATGTTTGAAAATATGGTGTTTTCAGGGAAGAGCAGAAATAAGACAAGGGATTTGTGCTTTGATGTTTTAAAGGAATTATTTATTTACTTATTCACTCATTAATTTATTTCATTTATTTATTCATTTGTAGTGGGAACAGGTTGTGTGGAGCTACTCAGTCTTTTTTAATAATCCAGTTAGCTGGTGACTTTGTGTAAGTCCTCCCTGGTTCTAGGAAGAACACCAAACTGCAGTCTTGGCCTGGCCTCTCCAGCAAGAGCACCAACTGAATGAACCAGTCATACCCAAAAGTAATCTGACTGGGAGAAGCACAGTTGCTGTTAAGCCAATGAAATGCAAGGCAGGTTGGATAACTGCGTGGTTGTGACACTGTCATCCCCTTCTGGTAAAAATCATCGCCTGCAATGGCAGATCGCCCACTGCTTCCACTTCGTGGCCAATCTTTCAATCTTCCTGATAAATGTGCCCCAGCTTTGTAGCCTCCTCCAGTATCAAGAGTGGAGTTTGTATGGAGATCCTTCGGGAACCGATGTCAAATGCTCAACAAATGTTCTGTTAAGTTTGGTCTGCAGCAGGCTGGAAAAGGAGCAGATTAAAGGAATAAAATATGGCCCGCACAGTCTTGGAGAGCACCAGCCAGCTGGGACTCTGTTCTGTCATCTAAGGTGAGCAGGGGGTCGGCTGATAAATGTCAACAATTTTCTGTAACACGTGGGCTTTTAATCTTCCCAACAGCCCGGGGGAGAAATGTTAGATATGATGACAGGGGCAGTTTTTGCCATGTTGTTTGGGGCCCCAAATGCAGTTTTGATACTAAATTCAAGCAACATCGCAAGAATGCCTGCATAAACAGGATTTGTGTTGATCGGGACTTTTGGGTTTTTGGGGGTATAAGCAATGGAAACTAACTCTGTCTAGTTTAAACAAATGAAGTCAGTTTGTTAGGAGGTTGTATCTAGCAGGACTCAAGAGTGTGGGTATTCCCAGGCCTCCCCAGGGAGTTACCAGGCTCTGAAGAGGCATCAACAACCAGGGAGGCTCCTTCCCCCAACGCTCCCTTCTCTTGGGCCTGTGGATTCTTCCCCACGTTCATTTGCTTTATTCTTCCCTTTTCAGCCTACCTTTCTCTGCCTCTCCTGGGATTCACATACTCAGTTCCAGGCCCCAGCAATGAGTGGCTTGCAACTCTTGACCCCATTTATAAATCCCCAGGAAAAATAATGGGATTGACCTCAGGTGGATCAGGTCTCTACCCGACCCTTCAGCTATGGCCCCAGGGAGTCAGATAGGGCCATCTATAACATTTTGGCATCAGGAAGGAACATACTTCCTGGGGGGAGTTACTAGTCTCAGAGAAAGGAATTGTGGGCTGTGTGGACTCCCTCCAAATTGGCTCCAGGACCTCTCTGATCCCTTGCAGGAGCAGGTTTCCTTTAGGGCACAGTCACTTTGCATCGTAGGCAGGGACTTTCCATGCAGAGCCACATCTCAGTGTTTCTTTCTGCTTTTCTGGAGTTCTGCGATGTATCTTCACTGGGTGCTACTAAAGAAGTGAGTGTTATATACAGAAAGCTGTTCTTATTATGAGTCACAACACACAGCTTAGAAATCCTATCAGGGTGCCATAGGAAGCACTTATATCCAGGTTTAAACAAAGAGCTTTGCAGAGGTATTACAGTTCATGATCATATATTCAAGTTATCTGGCAGAGTGAATGGATGTGTTCTTGGCTGTCCCTGGTCTTTGAGTTTGCAGCCATGCCTCTGTTATTCTTCCAAACCTCCACCATTCACCTACCCTCTTCTCAACATTAGTGTCCACTGGCCCCTGAGAGGGACCGCACCATCCCTATAGCAGGACTTTTACATTCTTGCCTTGGTATGTGCCCAATGCTACTTCCCATACTTGGGATTCCTTCTATTTTCTTCCATGACTCTCTGAGCCATCTGTATCATTTAAGGTCAAGGTCAAGGGTCATGTCTACCATGTAGCTTTTCCTAATATGCTATTCTTCACTGTTCTTCCTTATTTTAGAGCTCATTCAATAGACACTTACTTAATAGTTGTAAACTGAGAGGAGTGATGGCCATTTATATTGGTTTTTTCGTCTGCCATAATAAAGTACCACTGACTAGTGTGGCTTAAAGAGAAATTTATTTGCTCACTGTTCTGGAGGCTAGGAGACCAAGGTCAAGGTGTCAGTGGGTTTGGTTTCTCCTGTGGCCTCTCTGCTTGGCTTGCAGATGCCCTTCTTTTCACTATGTCTTTCCTTTGTGTACATGCGTCCCTTGTGTCTCTTTGTGTGTCCAAATTTCTTCTTGTTGTAAGGACACAATTCAGACTGTATTAGGCCCACCCTAATGGCCTTATTTTAACTCACAAAGCCCTCATCTCCAGATACAGTGACATTCTGAGGTAGTGAGGCTATAGCTTCAACATATGAGTTTTAGGGGGACACAGTTCAGCCTACAATACCAATGGAGACAGGGCTGAACAAGATATACATGTACCTTGCCTTCTTGTTTGATAGCTTGTAGAGAAGACAGATCTTAAGCAACCATTTCCATGAACACATGATTAACTACCATTGTGAGAGGGTCCAAGAAGTCGAATACATGGTACTTGCAAAGGTAATCTGGTGTTGAAGGATGGTCAGGAAATCTCTCCCCGAGGAAGTGAAATCTGCAGGAGGGGTGGACGGGAGTTAGCCAGGTGAAGAGGGATGGTTGAGTATTCCAGACAGAAAGATCAACCTCTGTGAACTCCAAGCGGTGGGAAAGAACATGACATACACAGGGAACTGAAAGAAGCCATTGGGGCAAGAAGTGAGCGGTGGGAGAAGGCACCAGAAGGTCACAGGGGTCAGATGACACTGGATATCATATTCCGACATCCTCATTTCAGTGCTTACCACATCCCGCCTTGGAGTGTTTTACAATTTTTTTTGTGTGGGGAGGGGGTGCCATGCGTGTTTTGCTTCTCCTTATGCTCCCTTGGGAGGAGATCCTCGATTCAACTCCTTTTATATTCTCCACAGTAGGCAGCACAAGGCTGGGCACATAGTAGAGGCTCAGTAAATAAATTAAGTGGATGTAATGAGTAATGAAATTGATAGAAGCACTCTTACTTGTCTAAATTAGGGGCTGACCCAATCTTGGTGGATGAGCGTCTCCTGGAGGCTTTAAAAGGTGAGAACTTTTGGTAGTGTGATGCCACCTAGTGTTCCTTTTTATTACAACAACAAAGGGGAACAGGGTCTTCAGGAATCTGGAAAATTGGAAATGAAGCACTTTCTTTCATCAGCATACATTAATTTGTCCAACCACCCATCCTCTCATCCATTAATCCATCCAAGTCGATGTCACTTGCATCTCTTTCCTGTGAGTTGAACGTGTCATGTTCCTTTCCACCTCCTGTGGTTCCCTGATTTCCTTTGTTAAGGTCTTTTTGTCCTCATATTCTAAATAATGCTCTCAGGTATCAGTGTCTAGACTGACCCAGCACCCATAGTGCTCGCTGTTGGCATGGCATGTTCTAAATTATGCCATCATATTGTGTTGGGATTACTTGTAGATGGTCTTTTCTCTCTTTCCCCCAAAGCCAGATTGTGAATGCAAAGGGCAGTGACTCTGTCTTAGTTGGCTCTGTGGTTCCTCTGGCCAGCCTTGTACTTACAATGCAGCAGGTGCTTTAAAGAAGTGTTTTCTGGATTGAATTTCTGTCACCTTGGCAGGCCATCTGCTTGTAAAATAATCCTTCAGAAGATTCTTGGGAAATGGGAAGACATATAGCACTACAACTGATACCAATACAAGATATGGGTGGCCAGGGCCCTCTAGGTCGTTCTCTGTTATGTACCTTCAGGAATGTTATGGAGTCTCTCTGGATCACGATGGTATCACCACCTGTTAGTCCCAGCGTGTGATTGGATCTCCTGTAAACACACAAAGTAGCCTGAGCCCTGTTGCCTACCCTGTGTTCTCATTTCCATTAGCTTGGCTTGCAGTTTGGTTCAGCCTGATCCTCCAGCTTCAGCTGCCACTTCTCCCATTGCCTCCATAGTGCATTATGCCTCTGCCATATTATGTCCTTTTTTGTCTACCAGATATACAGTCTCTGTTCATGAATGAGATACAATTATACAAATGTGAATTTTCCCCAAGTTAAATCATAAATTCATTAATGTCCCAGTTAAGATTTCTCATGAGGAACTTGAAAACATCCTGAAAATTATATGGGTTGATGGAGGTTCATGATTAGCCAGTGACGTTTTGACAGAAGAAGTAGGAGTGGGGGACTTGCCCTCAATCATGATGTCTGGCTATAAAACCATCATGATAAAACCTTGTGGTACTAGCACAGGAGCAAACCACAGAGCTCAGTGCAGAACTGTCTATATTTGGGAACCAAGATGTTGAAAATGGGCTCACTCCTCTGAGAAAAAAAAATCGGATCCTTACCTCACACCATACGCAAAAGTAAGATGGGCTCAAGAACTGAATGCTAACAAGTAAAACTATGACGCTAATGTAAGAAGATGATAGACAATACCTTTATGACCTTGGGGTTGAGAAGGACTTCTTAAATCATACTGGAAAAGCATGTAAAAAGTAAAACACACACACACACACACACACACACACACACACACACAATGAAGGGCTACAAAATGAAGGATTATTGTTTTACAAAGGACATGGCAAGCAAAGGTTTCAGTCTTTGAAAGCAGATTAATGTCCAGATTAATGTACAAAAACCTCTTGCAAATCAAATGAAAAAGAAAAAGAGCAACTGAAATATAGGTAAAGGCTATAAATAGACAATTCACAGAAGGGAATCCCAAGTGGCTTACAGATGTATGAAGAAATGTTCAATTTCACTAGGAGTCAGAGAAACGCAGAATAAAGCAAAAATATGTTGACACTACTTCCATGATAATTGACAGAATTTAGAAAATTGGCTAATTAGATGAGTCAGTATTTGTAAGGCACTTAGAATAGTATTTGACACTTGGTAAACACTATGTGAGTGTTTATGAATAAACAAACTACAATGTGCTGGTAAGGATGAGAGTAGGGCCAGAAACCCTCACACTGTGCACTGGAGGATAGCGTAGAGCAATAATTCTGGTGTGCCATCTAGCAGTACTTGAAGTTAAGTACCCAGGGCTCCTAGCAGGCTACTGGGCACCTTTGTGCCATTGGAAAACAGTGTCTACCACTGGGCAAATGAATTTGAAAGAGGAAAACCCTCTCAATAGTAATAGCCTCTCAGGTTCGTGACTTGACTAGGGAACAGAGCTTTTGGGGGAAGAAAAGGGCAGATCTTCCTTCAGCAGGGCACATGACATAGGAAAGCTGTTTTCCAGCTCCCACTGGTGCATGGCTGGATGTCTTTGTGCAGGACAAGTTGCATAGCCAAATGTGAATTGCCCTGTACATCCACTATAACTTACCAACCTCATTTTTAGGCATATGTTGCCGAGGAATTGCACATAGGTCCACAAGAGACCATGGACGAGGATGATTATCGCTGAGAGGTAGGGGTAGCCTTGGTATCCATTTGGGGAATGGAAGTCACATGTGTTGCTGTCCAATATGGAATACTGTGCAGCAATCAGAAGCGATAAACTAGGATTACAATACCAACTGCAAAAGAATAGATTCATAAAAAGAATATTGAGTGAAAAAAAGTAGAAAATAAGATCATCCTAAAGTCCCACATCATTAAAAAATACACTAATAAAAATGCATACACTTTTCAAAAATGCATATTCAAGCACAGTAGCATGAATGTTTATGGGGCTGAGGAGGGATGGGAGTAAGGATGGGGTTAAAGGGAAAGGGGCGCCTGGGTGGCTCAGTCGGTTAAGCTGCTGACTTCGGCTCAGGTCATGATCTCGCAGTCCGTGAGTTCGAGCCCCGCATCGGGCTCTGTGCTGACAGCTCAGAGCCTGGAGCCTGTTTCAGATTCTGTGTCTCCCTCTCTCTGACCCTCCCCCGTTCATGCTCTGTCTCTCTGTGTCTCAAAAATAAATAAATGTTAAAAAAATTTTTTTAATAAAAAAAAAAAGGGAAAAAAAACAAGAGGGGTTTTGCATATTTCATGAGCCAAGTTGTTTACCCTCTGTACCTGAAGGTTAAAGAGTGTGGAGGAGGAGGGGGAGAGGGAGACGAAATGATCTTGAGAGGAGCCCTAGATGAAAGGCAACTTTCCATGATGTGGCTCCACATACCTTTTCCCAGGGTGCTTCGAGCGCTGCGCCCTATTATTCTTACCACTGGTGACTAAACCCTTTGAAAGCAGGGTCTGTGTTTTCTCCACCTTACTTTCCCCTCCGTTATCTTGCACACAGTAGCTGCTTCATGAGGGTTGAATTGACTCGAACGGAGATTATTTCTTGTTCCCGCGACGGAGTCTCTTTGTCACGGAGAGCAGAGGGTGGCTTCCGGCCCTTCCAGAAGCCTTTGATCCACCTTTCCATCTAGGCGTTAGTTCTCCTCTGGCCTTAGCGGCCTCCCAGCGCTGCGCCTTCTCGTTCCTCGGAGTTTCCAACTTCCGAGGGCACCTTGGGACTCCGCCCAGCCTCTCATGGGCCCCGCCCCTCACACCCTTGGTCCCGCCCCACACAGGGCAGTTTGCCTATGCCTCTTCGGACGCCTCCCGGGTGCCCTCCCCAGAGGCTCCTCCCCTTTCGGAAGTCCTCCAGTTTCCTCAGAGGGCGTGTCGGTTGCCTGGCGACGGGAGGACGCGCCGAGCGCCGGGTTTCGGCCCCCTGCGGGGGATACCAATAACGTGGCGCTGTTTTAGACGCCGGGGGTAGTGCACAGCCCCATCCGCAGCTCCGGCCCGGTTTCCGCGATCACCACAGAAGCCTCTGAGGCCACCCCCAGAGAGCGTCAGGATGGCCGAGGTCAGGAGTCAGTGCCCCTCTCTCTGTCGTCTCTCGCTCGTCCCCTCCCCATCAACCCTCTTCTGTCGACTTGACTTCTCCGCTGTCACATCCGCTGATTCCTACATTCCTCCCATCAACATCCTATTCCCCGCACCCGCAGCCTCACCCCACCCCTCAGTGTTTACCTCCTGTCCCTCCTTCAACTGGGTGGACACACCCCAACCCCACTCTTAAAACTGGCGCTGTGTTCAACATAGTATGAAATTCATGATTTCCCAGATTCACACATGACAGGCACCCACCCCTAGATTTTGAGCCATAAGGTTTTGAGCCCAGGAGAGGTACGTAGAAATATTGATGTCTCACTGATTGGTGGGACTTGGAGGAAGGCTTCATAGATACCCACTGTCACCCCTATTCACTGACCCTTGTCCACCTGTCACTCCACGATTCCCTATCATCACCTGCTGTGACACATCTTCATTAAGCTCTTCACCTATCACCAATGCCCCGTGTTGTCATTGACCACTGTGTAAAATCTTCTAGCTCACTTTGTAGTACACTCCATCTTCAGGCTCACCAATGAGGGACCATTTCTGTAGCTCTTTATTGATCCTTTGTCCATTAGCACCTCATTTGTAATTTGGACAACCTCATGTCCCTGTCATCACTTGTCAGTCACAGTCCCTGTTCACCGTGGCCATACCCTATTCCTCCATCACCCCTTCAGATCCCTCCCTCATCTCACACATCACAGGATCAGTCCCAGCCAGGGTCAGCCATATAGTTTGTGAGGCTCAATGAAGAAGATGCAGAGCCCCTTGTCAACAAATTATTAAGAATTCCAAAGTGAGACAGCAGAGCATTAAACCAAAGGTGGGGGCTTATCTGAACAAGGGGCCCTGGACACTCTCAAGGTTTTATGTCTAGGGAACCATACCGGTCCCCGCTTCTCTCATCACCATCATGCCCCCACTCTTATTCCAGTTCCTTCTCATATCTCCTCACATCCCTCACCATTCCGTCTCCCCCATATTTGGTCCCTCCTTCCTGCGGGCAAAGATCCCTCCTTCTCTTATCATACAATCCCTCTCCCACCCTCATCTTCCTCACTCTCAGGTAGGTGCCTCACACATCCATACTGTGGTGGCCACAATACTCACCCCATTACCTACACTCACTCGTGTCTCTTTCCTTCCCATCTCTTCCTCCCATTCCTTCTAGCTCCCCTTTAGTTTCTCCTTTATTTGATTTTTAGCATACCTTCCTTTTCTCCCTCACCAGTCATCTTGGTTCATTTCATTCTTCATTTTCCACACATAAGCCCAGATACCAATACCATTAACAATTTATTTCCCAGTCTCCCTTCCCTTGCATTATCTCCCCTCATTTCTTGCCTTCTTTTGTTTTTCTTCTCACTTGATCTCAGCTGGGTTTTCCTCACCTCTACTTCCACAAGTCTCCATTTCCACTCTGGCCTCATTTGTCACTGCAACTCTCTTGTCCTTTTTCCTTGTTGTTCTCCCCACTGAATGATATTCCCAACACCTGCAACAGTGCCCGGCAGATAGTAAGCACTTAATAGACAGGTGTTGAATGAAGGAACATCATAGTTCCTTTCTGACCAGTTCATGTTGAAATCATGCTTCTAAAGTAGGTATCATTATATGCTCTAACAATGTAGACACCAACTGGTTATGGGTCACAGCTCAGAGACGATTTTTGCTGTGCTTTTAGTAGCATATACACACACACACACACGTATCCATGTGTGTTGTGTATATGTACATACATATACACAACACACATATATGGATATTTATTTATTTTGAGAGAAGGAGAGAGTAAGCAAGCAGGAGAGGGGAAGAGAGAGAGGGAGAGAGAGAATGCCAAGCAGGCTCTGCAAAGCCCATCATGGGACTGCATCCCATGAACCATGAGATCATGACCTGAGTGGAAATCTGGAGTCTGACACTTAACCGACTGAGCCACCCAGGTGCCCCAATAGTAGTATATTTTTAAAATGACAATATGAACAAATCTGTTCGTGAATGTTTTTAAAAACCTTTTCTTTTTTGACATTTTCCCATTCCTATGCTAAGTGCCAGGTGTACAGGGAAAACCTGGTCTGCAAACAAATCATCAGGCTAGTGATCAAGTGTTGGCATTAATACCATTTACACGGATGGAACTGAGAACATTGCTATGATAAATTTTTGTGTGTGCTCATGTTTAGCATCAACAAGGGGAAAACACAGGGCGGCAGCACCACCATATTTCCTTAATACGATTTTTTTCTTCTTTGTGGAATTGCTGTGTTGTGATGTTTACAGTAAGCTGCTTCTCATTGGGAAGAAAATCTCTGTTGAGTTTAACATTTTGCTAATGTTATACAAAATGTTATAGGTAGGCTTGGTACTCCACATCTACCTTAAGATGTGGATTCTTTTTGCTTGCATGTAATCTTTAGAAATCAATAGTACAAGTGTTTTTGAAAACCAAAAATACATAGACTTTCTCCGTATTGGGCAAGTGAGGCTTGTTAAGGCAGAAGGTAAACTAGACTGCTTACCCCGATTCTGCAGGCTGAATTTAAATTTTACTTTATTTTTGGGATTGGAGATCATCTCAGTTGATTTCTTTGATTAGCAATACAGTGTCAATCTTGGAGCTCTTTTTCATGTGGAATATCAAAAAAGTGTAATGTTGCATACATAAATAAGTCCTCTCAAACTTTATCAGATCAGAAGTTTTGAGTGGGTCTGTGTGGCCTACAGATTAATTCACTACATGTTCCTTAGAATGCCATTCACGGCCTCCAGTCTGTCTTTAACTTCCTGTCTAGTCTTCTCTTTCCTTCTCCCTGTCATACTTCTTACTCTTTAGCCAACTTGAGTTTTTTTTTTAATTTTTTAAATATTTTTTTTTAAAATTTATTTTTGAGAAAGAGAGAGAGAGAGACAGAATGCGAGTGCGTTGGGGCAGAGAGAGAGGGAGGCACAGAATCTGAAGCAGGCTCCAGGCTCCAAGCTGTCAGCACAGAGTCTGACGTGGGGCTCGAACTCATGAGCTGTGAGATCATGACCTGAGCCGAAGACTGAGCCACCCAGGTGCCCCGAGCTTTATTTTATTTTTTTTTAATATAATTTATTGTCAAGTTAGCTAACATACAGTGTATAGAACGCGCTCGGAAGTAGATTCTCATGATTCATCACTTACATACAACACCCCCAACTTGAGCTTCTTAATCGATCTCAAATCCTGGATACTTTCTGGGCCTGAGCCTTTGTTCAAGCTTTGCCATGGGCCAGGCATACCTTTTCCCTCCATATTCACCTGTGAATATTTCACTCTCCCATCTGGGCATACTCAAATACCACCTCCTTTAGGAAATTTGCTTTCATTCTTACTCCTGGGAGTAGATCCATCTTCCTATAGGTCCTTGTAGAATTTTGAATCCATTTTATGGCATGTATCAAATTCTATACTTCCACTATCTGAAAACATACTCCATCAACTATTAATGTATAAAT